CGATAAAATATAATTGTTTTTGTTTGTGGAAACACCACGTAAATTTATTACTGCAAAGCTTTCGATCCGTAAGCCCGGATCTTCATCAGTGCTAATAAGCACTAATGAAGTTGTTAGTCATTATTAGCACTGATGAAGATCCGGGCTTACGGATCGAAAGCTTTGCAGTAATAAATTTACGTGGTGTTTCCACAAACAAAAACAATTATATCAGTATTGTTTTAAGAAGATATTGCTACCAAAATTCATATAAATTTACAGCAGCTCAGCGCACAAACTATGCTTTTGGTAAATGGATATATATTAATTACAAGTCATCAAGTTTTAAATTTAAATTTTGAAATTTGTCAAGTTTTGAAATTTAATACAGAACTCTACATGCATTAATTACTAAATATTATTGGTGATTGCTGTAACTAAATTAACAAGGACTGAAGTGTGATTGCTCTGGCCAAGCGTAGGTTTTACTACGGATCGAATACAAAAATGTTTGAAAAAGGCATAGAATTAGAAGTTGTTATTATATAGCTAAGGTGAACACCAAACGTGATTGGCTGACTTGTGGTCACGTGGCTTAAGATAAATGCAGTGTATATCCCGCCGGTATCAAGCGAAATTTCTGTCCTCTGCGAAATACCTGCATGAGCAATTGATTTCGCATGTGCAGAACTACGATATTCATTTATTTAGCATTAAGGAATTTTCCGTGACAACAGGAAACAAGTGGAAAATTGTTCCCCGCCCGCCCGGCTACGTACATAAATAGACAAAAATATGGCGGCGCAACTCGCAAGTTTAAAAACAGCGATTTTCCAAGTTTGTGCCCAAACTATTGAAATAACGTATTGTTAATTACAATTTGAATGCCTCAGCACTCTGCTGAACCCACAAGAGCATAAAAGCTTGACATAAGTAAATTTTATGCATAAAGAAACTGTTTAAGAAGCTGATTTAAAGGGTATTGGCAACAAAAATTGCTTCATCTATCTTATTGCTTCATCTGAAAGAGCATGAAAAAATAAGCCGATTGGCCGTTTAATGCTCTATTCTATCTCATCTAGTTCCGAAGTTATACGCAAAAATGTGAAAATATAAATTGCTGATTCAGCACAACGTGTGACATCATTAGCTGGGTAAGTATGTTTATTGAATACTACACTGAAGCATAGCTCAGTTATTATGGGCCCAAATCAAATGAAATTTTGCATACTGATTGTACATGATGAGACGCATGGAAAACCACTTCTAATTTTGTTGCCAAGGTAACAATGTCGTTTCCAGGCCCCTTGCGCCAATTTTATGAAACAGCTTTATTCATGGTACTGGTAAGAATAAAATAATATCAGAAGTATGTGTATGATACCTATGCATGCCAAAAGTTTACTTGCATGATAATAATGCGAAAATGACATACACATAGATAAATGCAACTAGTTATTCAAAATCAGTGTAAGAGGCCTGGGAACGACTGTGTTGCCTTGACAACGAAATTTGAAGTATTTTCCCATGCATTCATCATGTACTATCTGTATGCAAAATTTCATTTGATTTGAGCCAATAATAACTCAGCTATGCTTTAGTTTACTATTCAATAAACATACTTACCCAGCTTATGACGTCACAGAATGTGCTGAATCAGCAATTTATATTTTGCACATTTTTGGGTATAACTTCGGAACCAGATGAGATAGAATAGAGCAGTAAACGGCCAATCGGCTTATTTTTTCATGCTCTTTCAGATGAAGCAATAAAATCAATAAAATTTTTTGTTGCCAATACCCTTTAAATTCCCAAGAGCAGAAAATCGCGTGCGCTTTACAAAGATATTTTAATTTGTTAATAATTCAATATTTATAACATACAGCTAATTCAATTAAGGTTGTCTCTGAAAGTCAAAACCTTCGACAGTCGACCTTTAAGCGCGAAAAGCACAATGGACCTGTTTATCATTATGAATTGTTTATGCATGCATGTTAGCACGATCTAGTTGTTATATTTTGCTAATTAAGTTATATGTCTCTATTCATGCAAATCGATCAAGTGAATTTAATTCCCAAAGCAGAGTGAAGCATGCTCATAAACAACATTTTTCAACGTTACGAAGTTGAAAACTCCCATCAATTCTGCCGAGTTTACTGCTGTATTAGGTTAGACGGGCGAATAAAATCCGAGATAGGTGAAAATCACGGGAATTAGTAAATATAAATCGCTTTTTTACCCAAAAGCAAAACGACTTGTGGCAGTGGGACGTAGCAACCGTAACTACGAAGTGTCGGAAGTATGAATTAATTTGTATGCAAACCCATCCTGCCTTTCGCGCTTAGAGGTCGGGGGTTTTGACTGTCATGAAAGGACAACCTTAATTGAATTACCTGTATGCACTCTGTAAATATTTTACGCGTCTTTGCGTTCGGCTTAGTGCTAAGGCATTCAAATTCTAACAATACGTTATTTCAATAGTTTGGGTTTTTGGGACACCGTGTATATAACAAAACACTCAATGTCTGTTTCCTCGGGAAATAGTCAGTTTTGCCATATAATAAAAAACTTACTGACTTCAACCGTTCGGGCAGTACGGGAAAATATCCAACCATTCACTAATCAAAGTATTGTTCATATGAAAATACCGGTTGATACCAAAAATGGCACAACCGTCTAATATAGTCTGTAATAGTCTGAATAGCTGCCTCTGAATATTCCGCTAGAAATTGCATATGTTTGCTACTGTAATCCTGTTTGTAAAAGCGTATCCATCGAAAGATTGGAGTCTATTGATTCAGAATATATGAGCAGTTTTGAAATCATGCGAATACGTTTCCATATCTCTCCAATTTAATACGTGATGATTTATGGGGGTAAAGGTTAGCACAATGAAATAAAAAAAATTAAAATATTTCAAAATCTAGCCGAGAGTCTCAACACCAAATATGGTTTAAGCTACTCCTTAAAACATGTACTTTATACTGGGAGATAATTCATTGATCTAAAAATACGGAATAGTAGGTATTATTGGACATTTTCATCGGAACCCGTGGCAGTTCCGATGTATAAGGTTACGCAAAAGTTGCAATTTTATACATTTTTTTAGCCTCTGAAGTGCTCATGCCTTCCTGGCCTTCCCAACAATGCAATAGATTAAAAATATTTTGGTTAGCAGAAAAAACGAAACTAAAAACGCCAAAAAAAGCGCTCAAAAATAAAATTACTATATTTACTCGCCCCAAGTCTCTTTCTCTTAAACCGCGCAAATTGTAGCGCATGCGTAGACATATTTCCCACCTGTTTATTCACTCTCAATCGAATGTTTTTCATGAGAATTGAAATTAACAAGGAGAAATTATCGTTAATTAGAACGATCGTGACGTACAGATCGTAATGAAATGGTCGGAAATTTTCGGATGGAAACTAGTGAACGAATTCTCTTGGGATTTATGTTCGGTTCGTGAGTTTGCAATTTTCTTTCTGTGTTGGTGTTGTGTACTCAGGTGAATATGATGCTTGTGATGTTACTCTGAGTGTATATCCACACTGGGCGAGCTTTAAAAATATGCCCGGCCACGGTGCGAATCGAACCTACGACCTTTGGAATACTAGCCCAATGCTCTGCCAACTGAGCTACGCGGTCAGGTCGGTTCGAGTAAATGATATTTCAGAACAGAATCTAGTTCCTTCGATACCAATGTAATCTAGTAATATGATATTTTCTGTGTTGGTGTTGTGTACTCAGATGAATATAATGTTTGTGATGTTACTCTGAGTGTATATCCACACCGGGCGAACTTGAAAAATATGCCCGGCCACGGTGGGAATCGAACCTACGACCTTTGGAATACTAGCCCAATGCTCTGCCAACTGAGCTACGCGGTCAGGTCGGTTCGAGTAAGTGATATTTCAGAACACAATCTAGTTCCTTCGATACCAATGTAATCTAGTAATATGATATTTTCTGTGTTGGTGTTGTGTACTCAGATGAATATAATGTTTGTGATGTTACTCTGAGTGTATATCCACACCGGGCGAGCTTGAAAAATATGCCCGGCCACGGTGGGAATCGAACCTACGACCTTTGGAATACTAGCCCAATGCTCTGCCAACTGAGCTACGCGGTCAGGTATGGTGGCCCAGAACTACCAACACAAAAAAAGGTCAATTTAACTATTTATTTTTTATAATTTATTTGTCGCTAATCAATTTTCAATTGTTTTTTGTTTCAATTTAATTTTGTTTTTAATTAAAAAACATTTCATTTTAGAAAACAAAATATTTTAAAAATATTTTAATAAAAATTTTTATCGTTAGCGGCCCATCGTTGCCAATAGTATACCACAATCCTTTTCGCTCCAACTCGTGCCCAGCCTTCTTCGCTACTATCCTATATTCAATGTGGCGGACTTCCGCGAACGTGTTTTCTAGTGGTTTACATATTTTGTTGTTTTTAACGAATTAAAAAATGAGTAGATATAAAGGATGGGATAACGACACGGCATTAGAAGACGACTTGCGTAAGTATGTGCGTGAAAACCTAAAAAGAGCGGAAATTTTAAGTTTTGTAAGGCGAGATTATTCACAATACCAATGGAGTCTCCGAAGTCTCGACAGACGTCTTCGTCATTTTAATATTCAATACATCGACCGAAATGTAGATCTGGAGCAAGTTAGGGCCGCTGTGCAAGAGGAATTAGATGGACCTGGGAAACTGCTTGGATATCGTCCTATGCACCAAAAAATGCGCCAAGTTCATCATCTTAATGTTCCAAGGCACCTTGTTCACAATGTAATGTATGACCTTCATCCGGATGGCCTAGAGCTCTAGGAAAGAATACACGTGTTAAGGGCCATTTCACGACTAGAGGGCCCAATTTTGTTCATTCTCTTGATGAACATGCTAAGCTAATGGGATATCAGAGAGACACTTTCCCTCTTGCGATATACGGGTGCATTGATACTGCTAGCCGTAAGTTACTATGGTTAAAAATATGGACAAGCCACTCAGATCCAAAGTTGATTGGCAGATGGTACTTTGACCATATTTATGAAACAAAAACTATACCATCCAAGATTCGTATTGATAAAGGAACCGAAACTGGAAAGATGGCAACGTTGCTGGCTTTTTTGCGGAGACACCAAGAAGATGGCATAGACCCCCTGGATTCTGTTATTTATGGACCATCTACTTCTAACCAGGTATTATAACAGTGTATTCGAAACATCTGTGCTCACCAATACTAGTGGTATATTGTACTAAATTGATATATTATTTTGTAACCAGCACTAAGGATTATGCAGTTTTATCACTGTAAAAAGTGTTAACTTTGCTTAGTTTTCTACTATTTTAATATTTTTATAATACATTTTCCCAGACTTTTCATTATATTTGTAGATTGAGCGGTGGTGGCGTGAATTACATGAACGCCTTGAAAAATTTTACAAAGAACACCTCAAATACTTGCTTGATCAATGTCTCTATAATCCTCATGATCAAATGGACAGGTATTGTACTCAGATATATTTCTGACTACCAATTATTTATAATATATAAATTTAATTATGGATCAGATTTAAGATTGTGCTTACTGTATATACAGGTCACTCCTTGCGTATCTGTTCATTCCTCTGCCTCAAACAAAACTCGATGTATTTAAGGATACTGTGTGGAACACACATCGGATTAGACATCAGAAAGACACATATTTACCTGATGGTGTGCCAAATCATGTGTATGAATTTCCTGAGGAGTATGGATTAGAAGAATGTGGTATGTTGTTAGATTGGTAAATACTGGTATTGCATGTAAGCAGCAAAGATGAATTTACTGAGGTTACATGAGGTGATTGTAGAGGGGTGTGCAATTTTCCATATTAAATCTATTGTTTATTTGGAAAGGCAAAATCAAAAATAATTTACAGAGTACTGACAGAATGAGATAGTGACATGATCTTGAAATTTCCAAATAAGACTACAGGCTAGCACCTTATTGACATAGCTCCCTCTAGTGATTACGTACTGTACTTGGTCAATAGTTGCACCCTTGAACCATGACCAAAGCTTGATGAGAACCCTCAAAAGAATAATTTAAGATTTCAAGAACAATAGAAATAATAATAATTTAGGTTGGAAAGTTACTGATGAACAGCTCAAAGAGGCTGCCATACAGTGTGATATTCTTGATGAAGTGGATTATTTGGATGAAGATTGTAGACGACGATGTGAACAACTAATTCCTGAACCAGATCAAGTCAAACCAAAGGACTGTAAAGATGTATTCCTCTTCTTAACGGACAAGTATCAAGAACAACAGTAACTGTATTTATAATAACATTAATGTAAAATTACAGATTAATTGGCTAAATCTCTCTGGGATAATAAATCAATTTAAGTGTTACCACTTATGTTATCACTAAAATGTTTGAGTTACTATATCAGGTTTATTTTATACTTTTACTAAATAGGTAGATTGTAGCTGACAGTATCTCCAAAAACAGTTAAAATTTTTAAATTTGTTTATTTTGTTTATTTTGTTTAGTCAAAATGCTTACTGTTTTCTGAGTCAGTTACAATAGTTTTGTGTTTCACAAAAAATACTAAATGGTTCCTTCAATTTGTAGCATATTTTGTTAGGATTATGTTAGCATAGAATAGACACTAATTTTAAACAAATTTGACAATTATTAGAAAGGTAACTGTTTCTGATGTGATGGTCATGATTTGGACATTGTTAGATATATCTTAAGCAAAATTTATCATTCAGAGAAAAAGCCATGAGTTGTATTGTAAACTATAGTCACTCAGTCTTTTACAAACAGAACAAATAGTTCATAACCAATTTCAACAAAACTCAAAATAGCATGCATACATAGCAGAGACAAAACTTTGCAACTTTGAAACTATAAAACATGAACTAAAATAATGTTATGTTCTCAGACAACAGACTTTATAAAGTAGACAAAGCAAGAGCTTTGCAATATTTGTTGCAGGTGTGACTGTTTTTGAATTTTTCAATTCCCTGTAATGACATATTACCAGCACAGTACATGTACTGGTTGTCTTCTGATAACAACTTGCATGATGCTATTTCTGGATCACACAACATCATACCTGCCCCTTGAATGTCTAGTAACATTAATTCGCCATTACTTATGTGGAACGAGAAATGAACCAGGCACACAGCTTTCAATGACAAGTCGATGTCATCCACTCTTGCACAAATTGTCCCATCATTATTAACATACTTTCGAAATTTGCCTTCGATGAACTCCTCAATGGTGACATATTCTGATGAACTCTCAATCCTACCCATATAAACTTTGTTATAAGAAAATGTTGCGCCAAATTCACTTAGGCATTTGGTGGCAATGGAAGACTGAAGCTGCTCAGCAAAATTGCCAGCTAACATATGGGTCTGGACAATTTTCTTTGAGTGATCTTCAGCCGATTGCCCTGTTTCCTGTAAGTGTGCCAAGGTTGCAGGTAAATATTTCTTGACCACCCACTCTTGGCCTTTGAAATCATCAGTAGAACTTGTAAGCCCTTCTAAACCCCCCTCTCCAAAATGCTCTTTGGAAGCTACAAACTCTGCTTTCACTGGTAGCACAGACCAAGTCATAAACTCTTTGTCAAACTTAAAAATGTCTCATATCACAGTGACTTCACTCTCATTTGATGCGACTTTTCCAAGTTTTAACATAGTTGATATTGACAAGCACTTGGGGAAAAATGAAGCTTGTTTACGTACGTTTGGCAGCAATAAGGAAGCAGCACACAAAGGGCGGGAATGCAACACACTCCGTATTCTGTTACTGCGGGTACAGCTGAAGCTGGCTTGACTGGACAAGTTCTGCGCACTGTGAGAGCCGTAATCACTATCACTGTCACCATTGTTACGTCTACGGGGAACAAATCGTACATGAATAATCTTCAAATCTGGTATCTGTGCCAATTCATTGCATGAAGGTCCTCGCTCTCCTGCAAGGATGTCAATTGCCGTTCCTTTCTCCATTAACCCTTTCGAGGAAAAATGAGCTTGGCAAGCCTGCTTAAGGTTTTCTATTGTTACGTCGCTATTCTTATAGGACACGAATTCGCGAGGGTCAATACGTGAATATTTCTGCACCTTCCCTTCGACTTTAGAAGACAACTGCTGAACAATAACATGATCAGAGTCAAGACGCCGCTTCTTTTCCTCCGTCCCTGCGGTTGCTTTTTTTCTTTTATTTGCTTCTCTCTTAGCCTTAATTTTTTGTTCGTAGTTGGCCCACAACTGTGAACTCATTTTGCAGCAGTAAACGTGCTAGAAAGTTGGTAAAAGTCACTCGATTTTCTGACAACGTTCGTGGAAGTCCGCCATATTGAATATAGGATAGTAGCGAAGAAGGCTGGGCACGAGTTGGAGCGAAAAGGATTGTGGTATACTATTGGCAACGCTGGGCCGCTAACGATAAAAAATTTTATTAAAATATTTTTAAAATATTTTGTTTTTTAAAATGAAATGTTTTTTAATTAAAAATAAAATTAAATTGAAACAAAAAACAATTGAAAATTGATTAGCGACAAATAAATTATAAAAAATAAATAGTTAAATTGACTTTTTTTGTGTTGGCAATTCTGGGCCACCATAGTCAGGTCGGTTCGGTTATTTCAGAACAGAATCTAGTTCCTTCGATACTAATGTAATCTAGTAATATGATTTTTTTCTGTGTTGGTGTTGTGTACTCAGGTGAATATGATGTTTGTGATGTTACTCCAAGTGTATATACACACCGGGCGATTCCAAAGGTCGTAGGTTCGATTCCCACCCTGGCCGGGCATATTTTTCAAGCTCGCCCGGTGTGGATATACTTTGTAGTTTTTGTTTGACGATTATTCATTCATAGTGTAAAATAGAAGGATCCATGGTCGGGGAAAGAAAGCACCGAAATAGCGAGTGCTGTAGCCTGAAGTCTAACCGATCAACCCCTTTGATACGGATATATGCAGGGGCGCCGGAGCTACGGGGGCAGTGGCCCCCGCTGCCCTAACAGTGCGAGGGCAGTGCGGGGGCAACTGGTTGCCCTTTTTGTGACAACAAAAGGATTAAGGCATTAACTAATAAGTTATTATTGTTGACTTACCGTCATATGTATAAGTATATATTATGACCATGTTCATTTCATGGTTCATTTACGCATTACGCAGGTTACGCGCGTTAATCGTCTTGTTAGTTATATAAGCCTTCTACATTTTTCTAGTTTCTTGACACACCTAAATTTATGTAGTCGATTAGCGCAGTCACGCTCTGGCACTACAATAACGTATTCGCGATAAGTTTTCCTCTGTTCTAGATGATTTTTAGAGCAATGCAGTTAGGGACATACAGTAGCCAGGACTAGCAATATATCCGTCCACAAATACTCGACCAGGCTGCCGTCTGCGGACGGCCGCCTGGCAAAGCCCGTGTTTCCAGCTTCTTGTGATTTTCCATCCAAGATACGCAACCTCATTAAGTTCAGTTTTTAGTTTGTTTAATTTCTTCGCCTCTACTATAAATAATTAAGAAGCACTGAACCGTGATAGTTAGTTGACATCGGCATATGCAAGCAAAGTGCCAAAGAAGCAAGGATTACATATTAGAGTTATCGGGTTTTTTATACAGTGTTACAATCGGTTATTATCGGTTTATTAATATTCCTTGATCTTATTATATATATATATATCAATTTGGTTTACTCTACATTATTGTGCGAGTATATTTGCATGAACTGTATTTGCGTTAGCTTGCTATTGTAACAATAGTGTGAGCTCTTTTTGTTTTGCCTTGCACAATCTTCGCGACCTACATATGTTATAATCTACTCAATTTATTCATAATCTACTAAAAATCTATTAAAAATCTGATCTAGTTAGTGTACAACGTATAGAAATATTTGGCTGCAAACTGTGAGACTTCATCGGCTACCAAAATATCCCACCCATGCATATACTTAAAACTTTCACTGTTTTTTGTATTTTACGTGACGTTTATTAATTCTCAAAATTATGTCAAATCTCTGCCCAAAACGCATGAAATGGACTCTAGATATAAAAGAGAGACTCTAGATATAAAATTTCCCGGGGGAGGATGCCCCTGGCCACCCTACGAGGTCTCGCGCCTTCGGCGATCAAGTGCCCTTTTCAAGATTCTGCCCCCGCCGTTTTTCAGACCTTCCGGCGCCCCTGGATATATGTAGTTTACTGTCCTGTCAACTTCAACGGCGGACGCGACAATTCATCACTATAACTAGAAATACATGCATGCAGCAACCCCTCGCCTTTCTCAACAGACGAAGTATAGAAATTCCACATGACGTATTCATGTTTAAAATAATAATAGTCGCTATGATAACGTGAAAATAATATGAGAAAATAATACGTGATAATTTTTTAACTAAAGAATCATTGATTTTCATATCTGGAATGTAGTTTCATGTTTATACCGTAAACCTCCGACGATAGCCCCCCCCCCACCCGAATATAAGCCCCGCCCCGAATATAAGCCCTCCTCCGAATATAAGTCCAACCCCGAATATAAGCCCACCCGAATATAAGTCCCCCGAATATAAGCCCAGTAGCCCACTACGTTATTCAACATTGACATTGTCTTTTTATATAGCAGAGAACGATATATGTTAATCAAAGCGCGTTATTAATACATGTTTATTTTCCTGTTTATGACTGACTTGTTTATGTCTGACTTGTTTATTACTAACACAAAAGACCGTGCCATGTATAAGCCCCCCGTATATAAGCCCATCAAAAATCGCTTACGAAAGTATATAAGCCCAGGGCTTATAGTCGGAGGTTTACGGTATGTGGCTTTCGCAGTTTCGGGTAAAACGTTGTCTTTGACTTTGCCGTGAAACTGTAGGGGAAACTGAAAAACTTGTTTTGCTGACAGCAGTTTCCTCGAGAATACGGTAAAATATATTTGTTTCATAGGCAGAAGCTAGTTGTTGAGTTATATTTTGCTCAAGCCATATTTTCTGTAGGTAAAAGCCATTACAGTATAAACACATATAAAAACACGATAGGCTGTATTATTAAATTGCCCCAAATAAACAATATTATTACATTACAATTTCATGTAAATACCAGCTTGCATGCATACAAAAACATATATATTTACTGAGTTAAGAATGGCTTAAAAATTTCGCAGATATGAATGAAATCGAAAACACAAAGCAAGTGCCAAGTAACGGCACTCACCCAAGTTCCAAACATAGCCACTACGATTATTAAAATTTGTTAAAACATCTGGTTCGTCTTCGACAAAATTCGTGTTTATGCCTTTCACACTTTGTTTCACGGTTCACAACCACTAATTCATGAAACTGGAAGCTTTTTTCCAGTTAAAAGCGAAATATATCGCAAAAATATATTGTAAAATAGCAAAATACATCTTTGCAAAATGATAAACAATTTTTTAGCGCGAGCTTAGCGCGTGCGCATAACGTCGAAGACCGCCCATCACATAATGGAGGACAACTTTGCACTTCGCTATGTTCTCAAACACCCGGGTGTAAATAGCCGGGCGGAATTAGTACCCTCGCCCCGGGCTTACGCCCGGAACGGCGCTTCGCACCGTTGGCTCGGGGACAATTAGGCGTGAGTGCATGTGATCTTCCCTGTTCAAGACAGCTGAGTACAATTGTATTCTGCACATGTAGTTTATGTTTTGGATGCCTTTTGTCTATTAGGACTAACTCAGATTTACATATATTGTATTTTCTTAGCAAAACACACGTTTCAGAGCACATTGATATTATATATATATATATATATATATATATATATATATATATATATATATGATAGCGAAGGTATACTTATACTCATGCACATATATAAACACACGAAGAAAGCGAAGGTATACTTATACTCATGCACATATATAAACACACGTTTAGAATGTTCTAGAATGTACTTTTAAGTAAACTAAGTAACAAACAAAATACACGCATCCATTACATGTATCACAAAGTTTTCTTCGGCGAGTCGAATCAAAAATTTTAAAGCTGCTTTCAAAGTCATTTTCATAGGATTTGGAAGGACAAAAACGTCTGGAAGTTCGAGTTTTACAAACAGAAGAAATATCTTTACTTTTGTCCATAAACGAAATAAAACAACCATAAATAGAAACGAAATAAAACACAATGAAAGAACTAAAAAAGTCTACAAAACGAAAACAAATTTGTATTTACGCGCCTTACTGCTGACCAATCCAAACAAAAAATACGGGCTCTAGTTTTCTTTAGATTTGCACTTGAAACACTCATGAAGGGGACAGCTTTTCCTCTTCTTCGTGAACGCTTTTGTCAACCTTTGGCCATGAATGTAGTGCTTTACAGATTTATGATAAAGATTGGAGTGATGGGTGAATGTACGAGAGGACTTTAGTTTGGCAGCAGATCGTCTGAGACTGAAGGGTGTCGTACTTGATACGAATGATGTCGCGAGTAGACTTCCAAGAAGCAACACAGCTTCACGCAATATGCAACAAGCAACACTCAAATCAAGCAATAGCTACCTGGATGTGAACAAAGGTAGACTTCTTACAACAAACCCCCCTTACTTTTCTCTACTCATTCCAAATGCACATTCACCCAGACTGACGTACTATAACGAAATTATCCCAATTATTTACAACGACACATAAGAGGAATTCATTAGTGCTGAAGGATGTCGACATTATGTAATAACCCGAAGGAGATGGAGATATGATACTGACAATTTGATTTCTGGATTCACATCTTTTTCTGAGAACATGGAATCGAACAATCCAAGTGGACTGAAGCAAAACGTTTGTAGATATCAAAGCCTTCCTATAGAGATCTTAATAGTGGTGATATAAGTCGCTGTACTAACACCATTTCAACACTAGAGAGCAAAATGTCAGAAGGTGAGAAAGTAAAAGATCAATTGCAAGAAAACAAAAAACCAGTTATTCATCTTCCATGAATGTTTTCCCTGGGGGAAACAACAAGCTGCAATATATAGAGCAAAAAATGTCTGCCATGATATATTCACTACAAAAGTTAAAGCAATTATCTGGAAAGGCAAACGAAGTTTACAATACATTATGCAGGAAGTTTGATAAAACATCAGCTGAGAAATGTGAACTAGGAAGAATAAAACGAAGAAGAAAAGAACAATGAAAACAAAAAGAAAAAACAAAAACGACAGTGGAACCTAGAAAAGAATACTGTTAAGTTACTTTCAGTTATTCCAACTGATCCTCCAACCAGCCTTTCATTTGTGCAGGAAAACTTTGAGCCATTTATAAGAAAAGACTCTTTAAATCATAGCAACTTGAATTCGGAAATCAGTTAGAACCAAAATTTCATCTTGAGCCTATATAATAAAACAACTTCTTGAAAAAGGCTGTGTGAGCAAAGATGCCGAGGAAAGCATGCAATCTCTAATGTCAAGACTAGTTTCAAAAAAGGAAGAAATAACCAAGAAGAATGGTGAAAAAAGAGGCTGGAAGATTTATTTAATATGAAGTCAGCTACAGATACGAAAGACAGTGATACGTATCTTAGTGAGCAAGAATGTAGCAGTGACTCATCTTGTAATCAAGACAATGAATGAGTAAAAATGACAGAACAATGAACAGACACAATTTACTGTATATGTTTATTTTTTGTTATTAAATGTTACTCAAGAAGGGTAACAATTTCTTTTTCTCATAAATTATTTACAAGTTTTTAAAGCAACAAATACTTTCTGGTCCCCCTAGATTATTGTTTAATATAATTGAAGATCCCCCCTTCTTTTTTCAGAAAAACTCCAGGTCCCCCAGTTTCTCACCCATCCCCCCCCCTCCCATAAATAATGAACGGTCCCTTACTGGTAAATATCAATAGTAGTCTTGCTGTATTAAGGTAGGAATCTAATCTCTGGCACCCCTTGTTCGAATTTTGTTTTAAATTTAAAGGTTTGCTACTCATCATTTTTCATATAATCGTATACTTTGAAAGTTTAATGCATGGAATATATACAGCAACTTGTGGTTACCTCTTGACAGAAGGACTCTTTAGGTCAGAGGGCTGTGGTAGAATTGCAAGGCTGCAGGTTCAATTCATGCTGACAGGCTTGTAATTGTATTCCACATGTAGGCATGATTTTAGAACTTCATTCAAAGAATATTATTGAGCGTAAGAATATATCATTATATTTTGCTAAAGCAAATTGTATTTCCTGCTATAATATACCTTATTTGTAGGGATAATAAATTATTTTAAATGTCTTTATTGATTTACTAAGGTTAGTTAAGGACTTTTCTTTACTCCAATATATATAGGGGTCATTTTGTCTCCAAAGGAGTCGAAATTGACTCCAAAAGTGGAGTAAATGAAAAAGGTACAGAACGACTCCTTTTTTGGAGTAAATTTTACTCCTTTTTTTACTCCATTTTTTGGAGTAATTTTAACTCCTTAAGTGGAGTTGTTTTTACTTCTTGAAGAGTAAAAACAATTCTACTTAAGGAGTAAAAATTACTCCAAAAAATGGAATAAAAAAGGAGTAAAATTTACTCTAATAAAGGAGTTGTTCTGTACCCATTATATTTACTCCACTTTTAGAGTCAATTTAACTCCTCGAAATTAACATTGTGAAGTTCGATGCGTATTAGTGATGTATCAAGAAATCTAAAGCAAACAATTTAATTTCTGTCCTATAAAATGGGGATAAATATAGAATCACAATACTGCCAGTCTGTACGAGTTGTGTTCATAGTAGTTGAGTGTTTAACATTAATGTTGCCCAGGGAGTCACTATATTTAATCAAAACCTGATAAAAAAAACATGTCTTGTGCATGCATACTCACTATAGTAAAGTGCGATCTGCTAATGAACATCTTCTCTGCCTTTGTTACAATCTGTTTAATCGCACAAATCATGCATGTATGTGTATACATTATTTACACACGCACGCAATGTCACACAATAATTTGGACATCACCGTTTAAAAATGTATTGCGAAAATTTATTGTTCAAACTCCTGCCCGGACTTATCAAAAACGCCATGCTTCTCAAAATATAGAATTTACTGTTGGAGTATATCATGATACGCTTATATTCATCCACATGCTGGCATCCCTGTACGTCTAGTTGTCTCCAAGCAACGACTCTGGCATTTTCAATTTTTTTCAAAATAGTTGAAAACTTGATAGGAAAAAACTATTCTACGTCTCACCTTTCCAAGACTCCGCAGCATAACCACCGAAGATGAAGTTACCAACTTTTATTATGGTCACGGTTGGTTTCTTGTTATCACATTTTAAATGAAAGGTATTGCATGCCCATCCATGTATAGTTGCACGCCAACACAGCTTCCATGAAATAGTGCTTGATGTGGTTCCGGTCCATGAAGCTAATCTTGTCAGAAAGTCAGCTGGTTCTCCAGACAATATGGTGGAGTTGACAGAAGGCGTCGGGACTAAATGAGAATAAGAAACATGATGAAATTCTAATTCATCAGCACATCTTTTTATCCATTGTATTTTATAGGTATAAAATGCAATTTTGATCGTCTTTAAAAAATCACACTCGTGCATGCATGTGATTTTCCAAATTGCACTCAAATTCGTACCATTATATCTATCTATCTATATAGATAAAGAATCCAACAAACCTCAGCAGCAAAATAATAAATTAGCTACTTATGGCGGAGTAATACCGACAACAAAATTCTGCACTTGTAGCAACAAAAGCTGAATTCAATGAATGCTAATTATTATAATAGTGGACAGCTTCATCCAGAAGTTGCATGCAGCACCCAAGCGAACATGCGTAAACATTAATTTTTAGCTTGACTTGACATGAGTTCTTGACATGAGTTCTTAACAACTCACCAATTTGGCAGAGATCTCCACTGAATCCCTTTGGACATTCACACCGGTAAGGATCAGAACCAGGTCCATCTTTGAGATAAATGATCGTCTTTCCCCCATTTTTACAATTCTTTATTTTATGACATGGAACCTGTGAAGCGAATATGTTAGAATTTAGCTCACGTTAAAGTAACACAAACTCAGCCTGTATCCAATTTAGTTATTTAAGCTGAAATAACAGAATAACGTCTCAAGTTAACTACAACAATTGGTCCAGTGCTTTTATAAATCAAAACGAGTTTTAATTGATAATATATACCGCAGTGGATGTCCTTAAAATGTAGTTAACATTTTTCATTAAAAATATTTTCGCAATAGTGTATCAAAAGTATATAATTTTCTCATAAATATAATCGAGTCCAAAAGACGAGTTCAAATTGGTCTCGAAACCATTCTATAGGCCCATTTTACACTACACAACTTTTGCCTAAAATTGTCGCATACAACCTGCTTACAACCTAATTTCCACTGTGTAAATCAAGCACACAACTCGCCTACGTCGTCGTCACTCGCATGCTGCATGTTTTGTTATATAGCGACGAAAGAAAAACCAACAACATTCATACATGCAACAATAAATTATTACAGTTACGACAAAAACTCTACAATGTAAACGAGTTTAAACTAAAATAGCCTATATATACTTAAACGGTTTCAGCTGCTATAGCATATCATGTTGCCTATTGTGTATTTTTCTTCTCTTTTATACATTCTTTATTTTAATACAAACTGGAAAATAGCAGGGAAGTGCTGGCTAGGTACGAGACAACAAGAATTCGTTGTGGGCCCTTGCCATGCATCATGGGCCCCGCCTAAAATCAAAACATTGAAATTTTTTCAGAAAAAGGGTTTATGCGCGATATACCAAGTCACGGGTGACGTCACAAGTCAAGAGTGACGTCACACCAATAGGAGATAATGGAATTATATCATTTCGTTTTGTTCTTTGTTTTTTAAATAATACTAGTTTTAGCTACCTATTTGTTTTGGATCGTCAGGCTTTTTGGCTGGTGCATTTGGATCGTTTCCTTTTTGTAGATCATTCGGATCACTTGCTTTTTGGCTGGTGCATTTGGATCATTTGCTTTTGTGGATCATTTGGATCATTTGCTTTTTGTGGATCATTTGGATCATTTGCTTTTTGTGGATCATTTTAGATCATTTGCTTTTTGTGGATCATTTGGATCATTTGCTTTTTGTAGACCATTTGGATCATTTGCTTTTTGTGATCATTTGGATCATTTGCTTTTTGTGGATTATTTGGATCATTTGCTTTTTGTGGATCATTTAGATCATTTGCTTTTTGTGGATCATTTGGATCATTTGCTTTTTGTAGATCATTTGGATCATTTGCTTTTTGTAGATCATTTGGATCATTTGCTTTTTGTGGATCATTTGGATCATTTGCTTTTTGTGGATCATTTGGATCATTTGCTTTTTGTGGATCATTTGGATCATTTGCTTTTTGTAGATCATTTGGATCATTTGCTTTGTGTGGATCATTTGGATCATTTGCTTTTTGTGGATCATTTAATTTGGATCATTTGCTTTTTGTGGATCATTTGGATCATTTGCTTTTTGTGGATCATTTGGATCATTTGCTTTTTGTAGATCATTTGGATCATTTGCTTTTTGTGAATCATTTGGATCATTTGCTTTTTGTGGATCGTTTGGATAATTTGCTTTTTGTGGATCATTTGGATCATTTGAAATTCAAGCCGCCAGGCGCCAGAACAAAAATCAAACTTGCGCGTACGGCGCAACCAGCATTATATAAACAATTAGTCGTCTGTAGCTACTATTGCGGTGCAGGGGACGTTTAAGCGATAAATAGTACTGTATTATTTAAAATAAAGCTTTTGATACAAACGTTTAGTTGCTTTCTTGTGATATACGAAATCCAGGCTGGTGGTCCGTTAATTTGTTTAGAAATAGATCTAATTACATGTGTTCGAAGCTTTCAACACGACACTGAGACTGAAAGACTTGAAAATATTGTTAGGCTAGCAAGCTATTTTCGTTGGTTTCAAACAAACGAGCGTAGTCAGCGTCTATGAGGATGACATATGTGCAGAATCCAATACATAACTATTGTGTTTCGACACTGTCGCTCACACACGGAAACACTGCGGCAAGGCTGCACATATGTCATCCTCATAGACGCTCACTACGCTCGTTTGTTTGAAACCAACGAAAATAGCTTGCTAGCCTAACAATATTTTCAAGTCTTTCAGTCTCAGTGTCGTGTTGAAAGCTTCGAACACATGTAATTAGATCTATTTCTAAACAAATTAACGGACCACCAGCCTGGATTTCGTATATCACAAGAAAGCAACTAAACGTTTATATCAAAAGTTTTATTTTAAATAATACAGTACTATTTATAGCTTAAACGTCCCCTGCACCGCAATAGTAGCTACAGATGACTGATTGTTTATATACCGTATTTACTCGTTTGAGCGCCGCGGCGCTCTTTGAATTTTCAGAGCTTCAGATGCGGCGCTCATTCGAGGGCGGCGCTCAATCGGGGGCGGCGCTCTTCAAAAAAATCTTTTATTTGTGGATTATATGAAGAACTTTTAACAATAAAATAAATAAGATTTCAATGTCTTTGTCACTAAATGTCTCCATTTTGACGCTGGAAAATTATTACACTGTTTAGTGCGGCGTTCATTCGGGTGCGACGCTCTTTTAAAAAAATTGATCTCAAATGCGGCGCTCATTCGGGGGCGGCGCTCAATCGGTGGCGGCGCTCAAACGAGTAAATACGGTAATGCTCGTTGCGCCGTACGCGCAAGTTTGATTTTTGTTCTGGCGCCTGGCGGCTTGAATTGCAAATGATCCAAATGATCCACAAAAAGCAAATGATCCAAATGATCCACAAAAAGCAAATGATCCAAATGATCCACAAAAAGCAAATGATCCAAATGATCCACAAAAAGCAAATGATCCAAATGATCCACAAAAAAGCAAATGATCCAAATGATCCACAAAAAGCAAATGATCCAAATGATCTACAAAAACAAATGATCCAAATGATCCACAAAAAGCAAATGATTCAAATGATCCACAAAAAGCAAATGATCCAAATGATCTACAAAAAGCAAATGATCCGAATGATCTACAAAAAGGAAACGATCCAAATGCACCAGCCAAAAAGCAAAAGATCCGAATGATCTTACAAAAAGGAAACGATCCAAATGCACCGGCCAAAAAGCCTGACGATTCAAAACAAATAGGTAGCTAAAACTAGTATTATTTAAAAAAACAAAGAACAAAGTGAAATGATATAGTTCCATTATTTACTATTGGTGTGACGTCACTCTTGACTTGTGACGTCACCCGTGACTTGGTATATCGCGCATAAACCAGAAAAAGAGATTTTAATTTTCAAAATCAAGATTAAGATATTACAGTTTATATTTTATAAATCAAAATTCACGAAAATATTACGGAAGAATTTTCGTATTTTGGACCGAAAAGTCACGATATGCCCGGAAAAATTTAGTATTTCCGGAAAATTGACTATTTGTTCGGAAAAATTTTTGCATTCCAGGAAAAATTACGATATATGCGGAAAAATTTTGGTATATCCGGAAAAAATTGTCGACCTCTCGACGCTCGCCAACAATTTTCGGAAAAAAGTATGAATATTGAGCCATCGTTCACTGCGCATGGGGCCCATCAGACGTTGCTCATTCGTTGTCTTTTTTAAGACGCCAGCACGTCCCTGGAAAATAGTAGTTTCTAAACTTGCGAGTTCTGCCCAAATTTTGTTTATTTATATGCACGTAGCCAGTTCGGGCAGTGGGCAACAACTTTTCACTTGCTGCCCGGTTGGATACATTGCATTTACGTTTGGTGGCACCCTGGCCTAGCTGTATAACAATTACGGTATAGCTAATAGGAAAATTGTGAAGATCGCAAAATTCTCATACACTCTTGTCACTAGCTGCTTGATGGGCACACATAAGTTAATTCCGCGTGTATAAATAAGCTATTTACGACTGTGGGTATTGCTAGCTAGGCATTGCTTACTAGGTATTAATAAGCTAATTCGGGGAAAGTTTATTAAGTATATATTTTTTACTGTTGTTTCGTACAGAGTTGCAAAAAAGCTGCGAGCATGCGGGCACTACACGCGAGGAAGGTTCACCATGCATAGGCGAGGTCAGTGAGGAAGGTTTAATTTAGTGGTCAACAGTCGCTAAAACAAATAAATCATAGTTGAATAAGCAGTTGAGGCTGACAAGTTGTGGTGGTACTATTGTGATATATAGTACCTATAACATATGACTATGACATTGGAGAATACTGAGAACGCAATAACTGAAAATATTCTGTAAAATTAAAATGTATAAGTGTCAAGCATCAGAGGCGCCTTAAACCATTGCATCGCAAATAACAGGAGGCTATTACTAAGAGCTATTCATCATGGTTACAATAAGAAATTCACCTTGAACATTATTATACCGTATTATTCAAAGATTATTTGATTACATGATTCCAATGTTTTTAGAGAATAATTAATAGTTATAAATTAAATGAACCATCATTGCTGTAGCAAATAAACGTTATAATAATTATATAAGGCCAATGAAAATTGATATCATGTTTCTCGTCCCCGCCCGCATGGGTTTTATCTGCCGCACGAAAATTTTTCATTATTCATTATTTTTGAAAAATAGGCTTAATAAAACACCAAATTGATCTCCAGATCAAAGTCTTATTGCTGCATTCCGCAAGCGCAACTCAAATTGTATCTTTCTAAAGACATTACTCGCCAGAATGCCTCTATTTTTCATGTCAGCCCTGGTATGCGTAGAAATATACTGTAGAGTAGGACGTATTAAATTAAAATGAATTATACGCCGATTTACTTCAGATTTTTATGGGTCAAGGAAATTATTGACAAGCAGAATTCAAACACAAGAAATAATGAAAAATGAAAAATGAAAAAATCCCGCTCCAAATTTTTGAAAATTGTGGACGAGAAACATGATTTCAATTTTCATTGGCCTTAAAATATGGCCAAGGTGAAATGTTGTAAATTGCCACAAAAATTATAAATAATGCTGAGGGAGAAATTTTAGCATGTGTGATGTGAGTCTGACGAAAATAATACAGCTTGGTTACTGAGGTGTGTAGCTGTCATACATATTTAATACAGATCGACAAAATGTATCGATGTCCTATAATCGAAATCATTGTTTACATACCTGATACCTACACCGTCAATTCCCGCAAACTATAAGATAATCATAAGTATATGGCAGAATTGGCAGCGTCTGCTATAGAGATTATATTGCCATTGCATGCCATTGATTTTCAACCATTCCAAACATTGTCATTGATTATAAACCGCCATGCAGCTGGGCACTATACTGCATTGTTTAAATTTAGCACTTTACTTCGAAAACAAGTGAGAGCATTCGAATTCGTTGCCTCTCTAAGTGAGTGTGAAATTGGGCGATTTGGGTCACACGTTAAAGGACCTAAACACTCTCAAATGCCTTTCAAAGCCACAAGTACAGAAACATCAAATACCACCTCTGGAATGTTGTTGCCATAAATAGTTTTACTGCTGACCTCTATTTAATATGTGTACAGGCATAAAATCAACAACTTCAGTTGATATCGACAGGAAGGTTGTGTTGCCCACTATGAACAAGTTGTCAACAATGTTGTTGCAAGTTTTGTTGACAACTTGTTCATAGTAGGCAGCACAACCTTGTTCACGCCTGTCAATTCACCCAGGAACAAGTTGTTGATTTTCTCAATTTTTACGCGTGTACTGTTGTGCTTTTTATTACAGATTCAGAAACCATCGCATTTTAAAGATTATCTTGCCTCCTGAGTCTATGACTGTATTTTTTATATTCTTTTATATTCAATATATCATATAGGATGTAGATGTAGTAGGTAAGGACTGTTCAATTTGTCCAACGTGTAAATCTATTATGGCAAATTATATATTAGAATCATGTACTGCATTTAACGACATGCACGTCTCTTTCAAACTTTATGCTTTCAGAATCAGTTAAGTTTGTGTACTCTAGTATATTGCTATTCGATGAAGCCATATTTTAGTATTTATTCAAATTATTTTGAGGAAGGTTTGAAAACTTTAAATTTTACCCGGAGGAAATTTGAACAGGTTTTGCAACTCTGGTTTCGTACCTTTCTTGGAGCAACAGGATGATAAAATATCCAGCCTTTGTCATCAGCGTTGCAATCATGAAAGTTGTGATTCACTGTGTGTGTTAACTGGCAGTTTGGACTTTTCTTCTGGTACATTTTCTTAAAATTGTATCCAGCACAGAATGGATATTGGAAACACTTCATGGCACAATGATTCTGGAAATCATACGTCGCTTCAGACAAAATATTATTTGTCAAATGGCAAACATCTACAACGCGAAAGAATATTTATCAGGCAAAGAAAAACTTAACGTTTATACAGATAACTAAAATTGTTGCAAACATTAAAAAAAACAATATAGCCTATAGCTCTATGAATTGGAAGCAAGAATAAGGACTTCCCTAAATTAAACTTACCTCCATACAGCAGGCGAAAAGGAATTGCCACGTTTGTGTAATCCTCAGGCATGCAGTATTCTTGTTCCATTGTAACTGCAAGTGGGAACAAGATCAGGAACAGAAATCGCACAGACATCAGCGCTGTTCGAAGAAAGCGTTTCATTTTGTTGTTATAAAAGAACAAAATCTCGGGTTAACCAATTTTTTGGTTGTTTTCTGGGCGTCGACAGCCAAACTGAACTAAGTGGCAAATTTTAGGACGTTATATACATGCGACGCGCTATGGCACGGTAATTCCCATGCAGTTATAGGCCATTAAATGTGTTTGCATTGCAAAACTGACTGTTTATTTGCGCCTTAATTGAATTGTGGCAAAGTTCGCATTAATAATTAAATTGGTCAGAATTAAGTAATAATTATGTTCGCAGTAATAATTAAGTTGGTCAGAGTTTCATCTGTTCACCGGCAGAAGGATAGTCTTTTGGAAAAAATTGACGCAAATCTAAAATTTTAAACACCAATAGCAGTCTCTTCAATCGGCTGACAGTTTTAGCAAATATAAAATTACAGTTATCCCAAAAACGTATGCATAATTGCAATACACGCATTAGTCGCAATTTTGTAATTATGCATGCAAACTTTGTATTCTAATTTCAATTTTGTATTCTAAATTCAATTTTGTATTCCTCCGAATAACTTAACTACAGATCGTATCGAAGAGAAATCGTTGTATTCAATCCAATCAGTATGCTGCTCAAAACTCTTAATTATTACGGGCTGCAGTTTTTATTGCTTCCATGACGGGAAAGGAGCTATAGGCGAGTATAAGTTTTAGAAAACTAGGAAAAACGCTAACATAATTAGACACTGCACTTACCTAATTAACAAAATAGCCTAAGGTTATTAGCGACAAAAAGCTCAATATGTCATTACGTTGAAATAAAAAATTAGCTGAAGTGTTTTTAGAAGACAACATTGATGTGAATAATACATAAAAAATTTTTGAATAAAGTTTGGCCCATTACAAGCGAGCAAAAAGTTTCCTTATTAGTAAACTTTTCACATAAAATTATTTGAAGCGCAACAATATTTTTAAACGCCTGGTGTTTCATGAATGCAGAGATGTCACTTGCGAGCCTCATTTTCATGTTCAAGCTTATCGCATTCATAACAATTTTTTGGACATTGACATCAAGGTGGCTCAACACAGTTTTGAACGGAAAACGGACTAAATTTGCGATTTAGATCTGTAGTTTTTGAAAAGCAAAAGGTATCACTTTCTGTTGTTATAAGAGAGAATTCAGACTCAGGGAACCATTGTTTGGTTGTTTTGTGAGCTTCGTCTGCAAAGTCTGACTAAGTGGCCAATTTTAAGACATTATATGCATGCCGCGCCCTATATATAGCACGGTAATTCCCATGCATGCGTTTATAGGCCCTTTAATTATATTTACGTTGCAAAACTGACAAGCTCTTGACGCATTCATGTTCATTTGCGTCTTAATTGCATGAAATGTGGCCATGATCGCTTTAATAATTAAATTGTTTGTCAAAGTTTCGCCTGTTCACGGCCGACAGGAGGGTACGTAGTCTTGGAACAAATTTAGCGAAAAACCTAAAATTTTACTAAACACTAATAGCAGTCTCTTCTGCCGACTGAAAGTTCTAGCAAATATGAAAAAAACGTGCGCATACCTATTAATTACAATACACGCATTAGGCTAAACAAATTTTGTATTCTTGTATGCAACATGCACACTTTTATCCTAAAAACTTAACAACGCATCATATCGAAGATAAATCGTTGTATTCAATCCACGCGGTATGCTGCTGAAAAATTTTAATTATTATACAGGCCGTTTTTATTGCATCCATGCATGACGGGAAAGGGGCTAGGCGAGTATTAGGTTTAAGGAAACTAGGAAATACGCTAGCATATTAATTGAACAATGCACTCAATTAACAAAATAGCCTAATGCCAGTGGCGAAGCCAGATGTCCTGCTTGTCCTGCTGAGCATGACATACAAAATTTCGGATAATGAATTTTTTACGCATATAATTTTTAAAAGAAAACACTTTTATCCAGCTTGACATATGTTCTTACATTTTCTTAACTTCAGCACGTTGCGCAGAAATTCTTAAACAGAGAAATTCATTATGTAACTAACGTTATTTAACTTATTTTGAATGAATATCGAGCCTTTGCCTGCATGGAGGCAAAAGCAGGAAAAATTGGTGGCTTGCCCGAAGTTTAGTCCTGCTCAACTCAGACGAGCAGGACAAATGTAAAATTCTAACGCATTTCATTGGCTAAAACAGCTCTCAAGAATGCGAAACACGCAAAAATATGCCTTTTACTCCTGCTCAAGCTTCGACGCATGATAAACCTTCGAATATTCTTCTGAATTATTCATCTTCCGGTGGCGAAATAGATTTATGAATATGCAAATTAATCCGATTCAACCAAGCGTGTGTGAAAGTACACGAGATGTTTTTCTCTTACAAAGGTCTTTTAGTTCCAGTAGCAAATCTTTGAGAATCTACGCAATATATACAGTAGATTGATGTTATACATTACGGGCATTCAATCAAGTATACAGAGCTAGGATGGATGGAGTGAGACAGTGTTGTTTTCAAATATATTGAGAAAATCTTTGAGATTCTATGCAGTATACAGTATAAATTGATGTTATGTATTACCGACATTATTTAGACCGACATTATACATTGACTGTATAAGGTGCTACACCACAGATTTACGCGCACCGTCACGGACCTTGTTTACATGTCTCAGCACTGTCACAACGCCAACGGCGCAAACTTATGTTCAGTGCAATTCTATCAGATCTTGCGAGAATCTATCTGTATCAAAGCTTGTCCAAACTGCTATAAACACTGCTATAACTGTGAAATTGAATACATGCGAACATTTGGAACTGAAATCAAAGGTCAATGAGATTTGTTATTGTGAAACATGTCACACCTAGGTTAAAATGCGGAAGCGGACAAAGCGAATCCATGGAACGGATATGGGGATAAAATGCGGAACGGATGGGGATAAAATGTGCCTTTTAATGAATGAGTTTTTTCGCCTCTTTTTTTACGCTCGGAATGCAAATGAAATTTTAGAATATGCAAAATTTGGTTGTTGGTCATTTTTGGCCAAAATAAGGTAAATTTGCGAAGTTTTGCCCCTTCTTAAGGTCATATTGGAGCTTAGAATTCAATGCTCAAATCGCAGGAAATGGTATTTCCGGGGTTCTAATTTTGAAAATTTTCAAAACTTAATTCAAACCTTCAGAGAAGTAAACTCCCATCGAGTCAGACAAGATCTCTGAAGAAATATTTCCAAATTATTTTATAGACATGCTGTCAGGAATCTAGCTTATGAGTTCATTGGCGAAGTAATTTTAAAAATAAACGTTGTCTAAGCCGAGAAAATCAAAGTTAAAGTTTATGTAAATCAACATGAATCTGTATCACATATACAGATACGACACGCTTAGTCGCTTATGATTTTTCTTTGTGTTTTCTTCATGAATTATTAATGAGTTTTTTAACATTTTATACATTGATTACAGAGCATTGATTATAGAAGTAATTAGTATAATTTCTATTTAAAGGACTGTCATTCATATGAGGCCGCGTTTACACTATGTCTGAGTATGACACTATTCTGTGCTACGGCTAACATTCCGTTAAAAATTTTATACTGCGTTTCTAGTATTGAGACTATATTGTGTTTATATACACTATAAGTTATACATTATAACGGAGTGATTTTTCGTAGCGTACTAACTACTGACCACTAGTTGGCCACTCTGAATGCAAATCAATTCATTAAAAATTCACTCACGTTTCTTAGACAGTATTGTGTTTACACTTTACACTATAACAGAGTGGTTTGCCGTAGCGAATAAACTACAGACCACTAGGCACTCAATCTCGTTCCCAGAGTATGCCTGTTCGCGGGTTAGGTTGTGGCATGACTCTGGGAAAATCGAATTTTTTTATCCAAAATGTGATAAATGGCGCATGCGCTTTTATTGCTTTTGTTTATTCCGCTTACTAAATTCGCGCGGGCACACGTTCACAATCATATTGTTTTAAACAAAGATTCTCATCAGAATATAGTATACATAATGGGTTTTTATACGTTTAAAGGTGCCTTGAATTGTACTACTATTAAATTATATTCAATGGCAAATACTGAAAGAGCTATGAAAGTTGTTCTAGCGAAAAGAGGGCTTGAATATTATTCGTTAAAAGACGAGACATTCAAATGTATCTCGGCCATATGTAAAATGGTGAAGATGTCTTGGTTGTTTTCCAACAGGTTATGGGCTTATTATAGCAAATATTAAAATATTTCAGCTGCTACCTGACGTGTACGACGTGTTACTTGGCGTAACTAATTCTATCGTGATAGTATCTCCACATGAATGACCAAGGCGCATACATGTCAAAGTATGATACAAGGCCATTCTGTGCTACACTATATTATGGTGATGCAGCGATATCAAATTACCATTGGATCCCATGAGAACCTGACGTATAAGCTGTTCTATATGCACCCAGAAATCTGTGTCTGTGACAAGAAAATACAAGCTTTTTTGAACTGTATACTGTAAACCTCTGAATATAATACTCACCTCATTCCAAATATAAGCCCCCCCCCCCCAATATAAGCTCCCCTGAATATAAGTCCCCTGAATATAAGCCCCCTGAATATAAGCCCCCTGAATATAAGCCCAGTATCCCACTATGTTATTTAACATTGACATTGTCTTTTAATATAACAGAGAACGATATTTGAAACACTCATGTCATTGTCTTTATAGCTTACTATGTTAATGGAGTGTGTTATTAATACATGTTTATTTTCCTGTTTATGACTGACTTGTTTATTACTAACACAATTGATCGTCCATGTATAAGGCCCCCGTGCATATAAGCCCCCCCCCCCCTAAGCCCATCAAAAATCACTTACAAAAGAATATAAGCCCAGGGTTTATACTCAGAGGTTTACGGTATTATATATCCCATATTTTAACAATAAACACATTATTTTTTATATTATATTACAT